TCTAAATAAACATAGTTACACATTTTCAAATATATACCTATTAAGTTCTTATAGACAATTAGCACCCAGACACAACATTAACACAATATATGTCTTGGGATGGAATAGAACCCACAACCTCTGGCTTAGTAGTAAGGTATCGCAGACCACCAAAAACTCAGGCCACACACACCACATCATTTTGAGTAAATCATAAAAGAGAGACGCTACAAGTGGTAAAGGTAAATTCAACTTAATAGAATTAAAGCATTCGTGTTTCAAAGTCAAACTTTTTAGGCTTGGCTTTGATTTTATAAAGACTGCTATTTATAGTTTTCCTGCTAGTTCTATAAGATCGGAAGAATTTGGTCTTGGTGCATCTGTGTATATTTATGTCATTGCCTCTTCTTCAGTTTATAAAATTGTAGGTCATACGTCACTATCCTCATCGTCAACAGCTTTTTAATCAGTAACGTTAACTCCTCGAAAAATATCTAACATTTTAAGGCACGTAAGAAAACATAAAAAAGCGCCATACACGATAATCATTAGTTTTTTTTATTTCTCTCGATCTCCTTGCAAACCAGCGACAAATCTGAAAGGTTGGTTACATTTTCATTATACATTGTAGTTTTTGGTTTACATGTCAGTCAGTTAGCGACTGAACTCTTGGCGTCACGATTATTGAAAGTATATTTTATACGAATTAAGCAAAATGACAATTTTAGAGAAATTAAACAATTTATTCACATTACCTATCAAAATGTAAACGTTTTATCTTAAACAGCTCTTTCTTTGATCACCTGCAAGCCTGCCTTCATCATGAGCGCCTGAATAATCAGTTTTCCCTTTGAATTCACAAACACGCTTATTATAGTCTTCAATTATAATGACGAAGATCAAAAATAGCATAAACACAGCATAGTCAAAAAGTCCAAGATTAAATTTGTGTGTTGCAATTTCATGCACAAGTGTGTAAGTACTATAACCAGTGCTTATAAGTGTGTCCCTCCAAAGTATTTCGAATAATCTGTGTGACTATGCACACAATAGAAGAAATTGTACATCGTGTCAAAAAAATTCAACATACTTTTCTGAAGAAAATTTTCTTTCTTTCTACTAGATTTGAAAGTATAAATGTGTTGTTGTAACTTCTGCGGCAGTATACGATGTTTGTTCTGTTTTACAGCTATTGCTTACGTATTTCATTTGTGTGGGATCGAATGTAATTGTGCCTGTAGCGATTGTAGCCCGTGTTGTCATCCGAAATGCGATGACAATGATTATTAGTATGTCTAGATACTGTCAAAGCTGTGAGAGCGTCGAAAAATATAGTTTCAACCGTTGGCCACTAAGTTGCTTTTCAGATGTCACTGTGTAACAGAATTAGCATAGACTTGATTAATAATACTTATCATAGAATGAGCTGTTGCATCTTAAGACACTCTTTTTAAGAAATTCGGGAATTTTATTTTCGATTTCAGGTATTAGATTACCTATTGTATAGTCTGGTAATATGTAGAATGTTTAAAGTGAAAGTTACACTTGTGCTGTTGATAGTGAAATAATGCTGTTTGTTTTGTTTATTATAATAAAGTTTTTAGATATATTTGTGCAGTTTTATTGGCTACTTGTTAATACTTAAAAAATAGTTGATATGTAGTGAGCATGAAACCACTATTCAGAATATTACCTATGTTAATAGGACAAACGGACAGGTTGGTCACCTGATGGAAAGTGACTATAGTCGCCCATGGGCGCCTACAACTCGGGAGTCACGTGGTAGAGCCATACCGGCTCGACAGCGGTGATACCTCAGAGAAAACATCCCACCCCATCGTAACTCTGGAGAGAGGCACTTAAATAACGAGCCAACGTGAGACACTGCATACACATGCATGCATGCTAGAGCACTCGCACTGTCACACCCTTCCGTCGCTTTTCACGAAATCAGTTCAAGAAAAGATGTTTTACATTCATATTATAGCCGTAAAAGAACCATGCTTCGACACAAATATGCCTAGCCTACTCGCCCTTAGTGGTACCACTGCCTCACAGAAAACTGATTTTCAGCAGTTATTTGTTGCTTTTCACCAAGTAAGTGAGCTTCTACTTACATTATTTTTATAATTAACCGAACTAAAATCGGTTAGTTATAAAAAATATTTATTATCAAAATGTTCTGGGTTTTTAATAACGGAAAAATACACAAAAAACTCATTCTGATTTAACCTCTAATGTTTATTGCAATCTAACTTGAAAAAAAATTCGGGCAAGTGCCAGTCGGACTCGCCTACCGAGGGTACCATACAAATTTGTAGGTAGGTACATATTATAAAAAGTTCAGGAATCGAGTCTTTGCCGAGATTTGCCCGAAATTCAGTTTCTAAAACCTATAATTACTTATAATCTTGTTTTTTATCTATAAATGAAATTGTAACGCGATGATTACGTACCTACTTTAAATAAAGACTATATTTTTTATGTTTTATTTACAAATGTATAGTTTTCAGATTTTTCCCTATACTTGTAGTATATGACAATGTTGCCAAATTTCATAGTCCTAGGTCGATGGGAAGTACCTTATTTATTTATTGATTTATTTATTAGTTGAGGTCTACCAACAATTGTTAACATTTAAACTGATTCTAGTTGCATGCGAAAATACAAAGCTTAATGTTACAATTACTTAAAGGTAAACACCGCATTTAAAATATTATAAAAAATACAGACAGTAAGCCATATAATGTAATTCGTAAATGTAGACATTCTTATAATTACAATTTCAGCCAGTTTAATCTATCAATAGATACACTATGTAAAATCAGGTAAGTTCAAGAGTGTTGATTTAACTTTTGCCACAGAGTCAAAGTGAAGATCGATTTTATTGCTATACCCATTAATTGATTTACACAATCTTGAGCATGGAGAGCTGGCACCTAGAACAGTCCTTTTAAGTGATGGAACAAGTGGTGTAATAGAATAGCGCGGCATCCTAGCCGGAACGCGCAGCTTGATTGAACTTATAAGTTGTGGACAGTCTATCTTAGATGCAGATACTTTACAGGCAAACACTACATCATTGAGAAGTCTACGACCTGTAAGTAATTAAGCCGACCTTTGTATGAACGTATTTTCTTATGAATTTTGATTCCCTTGAGAGTGTCGTGAAATATTCGTTTTTGTGGCATAAGCGGCCGTATCTTTTTTACGTTAACTTAGTTTAATTTTCCACAACTTCAAGGGACTTTGGAGCTAAATTTATAGCTTTAATTTCAACTCGACACTTCCACCCGTTTTCGAGATAAGGCTCAGGCAGACGGACAGACGGACTAGAAAGTGAACCTATAAGGCTCCCGTTTTTCATTACTCTAGGTAGGGAACCCTAAAAAAGAAATAAAAAGGTCGCACAAATGATATAAAAGCAATATTTAATATCAATATGAAAAAGTACATACAAAATAAAGTATAAAATAAAAAAAAATAAAAAACAAAAACATTGTACAGAGTGACTTTTCTTAAAAGTTACACAAACACTTAATTTTTATACTTAAGTATACTATAGAAGAATTCAAGGGCGTAAGTGGTCTTTAACATAAATCCTTTTTTTCCAAAGTTGAACCGACTTCCAACAAAACGAACAAAGAGCACTAAAAAGCTACCAGTAATCGCGGATTTGCTGTCATTTTTTTAGGAGTTCCGTTGTCCGTCTCCGAAATGAATGAAATTTATATGGGACCATTTCGGAATTCGGAATTTTGGAAATCCGTCTATGTATGACGGAGTTATGCCCGAAAAATAATCAAAATATAACCTCCTCCCTTTTTGAAGTCGGGTAAAAATAGTCCTATTTGATCGTGGAAGAGCAAGGTTTCGGCATATGGGCCTGCATACCGGAGTGATACCATGGTATCACAGAAAACCGGTTTTAAACCATTCTTTCGTTTGTTTTTACCAACACCAAAAAATATTACTTCAAAGTTAAAAACACAAAATAAAATAAAAACAAGAGAGCGAAGCCGCGGGCAATAGCTAGTCTTTACAAGTGACGACGCTGCACGACTATCTGTGGTCACGGCAAAGTGTAAACGCGCCATAATAAAGGCATAAGTAAAACAGTTTGAGGGCTACGATTCAACAGAAACGTGCTATTTGTTCTGGTGTCCGATTTCCACCAATGACATTAGTGAATTATTATCAAACTTTAGCATAGTGCAGCCCTAGGGTTCAGAGAAGCTATTTTTCAACAGCTGTTTAAACTAATATTATACCCAGCTTTATAAGGTACGGAGCAGAGCTGAGTAAAATATTTAGTTAGTGTTACGGTCTTCTTCTGGACCTCATCCAACGCAGAACGACTCGAATCATCGATAGCCCAAACATCTCCGATCGGCTCGATCACTCTGCATTCTGTAACGCATATATCATGGAGAGTGCTCCGAGGAATTGTTCGGACTAATACCAGCCGCAACTTTCCACTACCGTTCCACACGACAAAATTTTCATCCTCATTACCTGGATAGTCGGCGCTCCACTACTGTGCGCTTTTCGAGACACTTTTTGCCCCGCACAACCAATCTGTGTAACGGGTTATTGTCTGCGGTATTTCCGGACGATACGACCTTCAAACCTTCAAGAAAAAAGCGTACTCCTTCCTAAAAGGCCGGCAACGCGTTTGTGACTCCTGAGTTGCAGACGTTCACGAGCGGCGATGGTCACTTTCCATCAGGTGACCCGTCGGCTCGTCTGCCATCTCTAATATAAAAGCACAGACTACCGTAGCTTCACACCTTACCTTCCTGACATCTCGAGTGGAACTGTGGCCTAAATGCTAAAGCATATTTAATTACCACTTGTGCAGGTCATTTTTAGCTGTCGGGGACATCGTCGAAAGCATCCATATCTTCACAAAATCCAAACAGGTGACAGCATATTATACACAGAGGAATACATAATAGGCAACGACAGCACCGGCCACAAAAACCACCACAGCAGCAGCACATCACTAAAGGTCTTTGAGTTTATTTCTGACATTGAAAGTATCTACAGCATTTATTTAATGACCTGAAACCGAAATGTTGTTTTTTAATTAACACGTCATAGACTGACTATAATTAAGTTCCTTTTACTAATCAGGCACTTTAAGATTGGGAAATTGGGAGAATATTCAAAGAGAGAGGTAGCTAAGAAGAGGAGGCAAAGGAATATTGTTTTTACGTATTGGATATATCGAATGAAAGTCATCCGTGTGGTGACGGATTAAGAATACGGAGTGTCGCCTCCTCTATTCATCCCGACTATGGGAGCAAACTACGCAGGACAACAGGATAACTTGTCACAAACCCTATACCAACCCGTCTGGCCAGCTTGGTACAGTAGGCCAGAACCTCCTTTATAAGGAGAGGCCTATATCCAGCAGTACTCTATAAGAGGCTATTGATGATGAAGCAGTGTCAGGGTCACCAAATGGTTGACGGCGAAAAATCAGAGCCCTCTCACAGTCACTTGCTACACGTAATTTTGCCATTTGATTTCATCCCTGGACGGACATATGGGTTTAATCCCCGGCCTCTTTGATCAACCGCAGTTTCAATTCCACTTTCGGTACTCCATCCAAAACTTTCGGTATCGCTTACCGTAGCTCCCCGCCTTATCAGTTTACCTTCCCCTAACCTTTTTTTCATCATCATCTTGGTTTTTCTCCAATGAGGGTTGGTCGTATCGTAAAATAAACTAGCCAAAATCCGCCCACATGAGAGCCTAAATTTGAGAGAATGGTAAAGAATGATGATGATTATGAGCGAGTCACATTATCACTTACCTGTTTAGCGTACAGTTCAACTGAAATGTTTGATATATAGTTTCACCAGTACTACAATTTCTAAGACAATCTTTGTCAAAATATTTACATGCCAATCCAAAAGTCTTGTACAATCTTTCAAAACGAAAGTTATGTAAAACGTTTAGTTTCTGCTACTTCGTTTATACAAATTGCTTTCTAGTTAATTACTGTACTCTGTGCAAATTGCCCCCAATATTCTCTTTATTTTAATAAAATGTTGCTAAATTTTTTTGTAATGCACCTTTTGATAAAATATTACATTGATGTTTTTATGATTTTGTCACAACGATGGACACCTTAGAGTATCTGGTTAAACCAGCTCTTTAAGAATGGCATGGGTGTCATATGATCTTCAAGAGCTGTATCTCCTTGACCCCAGCAGGCCTTCGGGAGTAATGAGGCAGAAGTTTTGTTCCCAGTAATAACGTTCATGTCAGGTATCATTTACTCTGTGTTTGCTACTTGTCCAAAAGGTACTTGTTGCTAATGAATAAGTAATGCCCCGAGACCGCGCATAGCTGAAACGATTGACGTTACCCAGGACAAAGAAGATAATTGTTTGACTTCTACTTCTGTATGTTATTTCCATTTAAAGAATTGCTTTCCAGGTTTTATTACATTTTTTTATTTATTTATAAATAACGTCTTAACATAGTTAGGATATAATTATAATCTTAGCGTGATCTAGAAGATGATCTACCTGAAGATAAGTAGTAAAATTATCACACATTACGACTGTCACTATTATACTTACTCGTATATCTATCAGGGTCTATCAAATGCTTTTTTCATTTCTAGTATTTAATTTAATTAGCACACACTTAGGATCACTCTTATTTATTATTTATTTAATTATAAGAATTATATTTATTACATTATTGAATAACCTTAAAATTAAAGTTTAAATTAACACTCGTAAGAAATTAACTCCTAATTTAAAACTATTGTTTTAACAATTATCAAAGTTTTCACAAATTTTCTCAAAAATGTTCAATTGTCGACGGTTACCTGCCTGATAATAAACTTTCTTTAGAACAGGCACAGAAAGTATATTGGGGCATAATACTCGTCAGAACAGGCATAACATGCTTGGAGACAATAAGAGTCACTATATAGAAAATATGTACATTGTTACTTTAACATACTTAAAATCAATAAATGTCTTTAAAAAAACGAGAGTTGTGATAGGTGATAACACTTTTATCTATGTCAAAAAAATGTGTTTCATTATTCTGTGAAACATGAATCTTTGTCAAATTATTTTTCTTTAAGACTTTACCTCCTTAGAATCAACTATTACGAGTATAACACAAAATGTATTATGAATTTATTTAATTACTGTGATGGCCTGCCACGTTTATAATCTTTTATAAAATTTCTTATTAACTCTTTTATAAACGTATCTTAGTTTTCTATGTTTGAGAAGGCAAATCCACATAGTAATGAGTTTTAATACGTTCTTTCTTTCTTCTTTTATCACCAGACCACTGTTCTTAAAAATTCCCTTTCCTTCCATAAGTGTCTTAAATTTCTCCATGTTCCAGTTTATTTGGATGCAATTTATCTGCACAAAATGTTACCTAGTTTCGAAAGACCTTCACATATTACGGTGTATTTAATAGTAAAACCGTAATGTTGACCACGAACTTAGATTTCCAGTTTTACTTTCGACATTTTATGAGAAGGAATCTCGAAAGCCACGTTTACCTATTTTGATAATTTCATCTTGAAGTTAAGAACTTTCTGCCAAAATTGAAGACATCAAGTGCAGTGATCTCACTGCGTATTGATGTGTTAGTAATTTAATCTTCACAGCAATTGTCGCAACAAATTTCGCATTCTCTACAGCATGATGCACAAGCACCGCAACACCACACCCATATAGGAATACAAAAGATACAACGCAAAAACGGGCAACAACAGGTACGGCAATTACACATCACTAAATCCCTTAAAGTCTTCTAACATTTACACTTGGCAAACCCTTTGTACAGCCTCGATTGTTGGCTATTGTCCTGAATGTTGAAGGAACTTTTGGGTGTGGTCGTAATTTTGTTTTGGTTAATTTTGATGGCCTATTTCACATTTCATTATTTTAAAATATTGTAATCATTTATTTATTTTAATGTGTGACTCAGATTGTATAATATTTGTTATTTAAAACAGACATTGATAGGTTTTAGTTTGTTGTTGTTATTGCAATAGTTCCATGATTTTTGATATTCCAGTCTCCAGTAAACATTTAAAACAGAGCTTGATATTTTTGTTTGTCTTGCTTTTGAGGTTATATCTGGTGACAGATTTTAGTTATTACGATGATAGAATATAATGTCACTCAGCAACAAAGAGTATATAAAGGATATAGACGAATCGAAACTTGAAGTTAGATCATTATAGACCGAAAATTGTAAAAAATGTGCTGGCATAACTGCTGATAAGGACTGAATCAATTCCGGTTCTGAGAAAGTTGATAACAATTTTCAGCTTGGTTCTGTGATTTTCTCACTTATGCCATTAAAACTATACGATACTTACGATTCAGTCCTTATCCAATATTTTTAACGGACCGTGTAGGTTCAGCATCATCATCATCATCATCAACAGCCTATACTAGTCCACGGCTGGACATAGGCCTCTCCTTAGAAAGGAGGTTTTGGCCTACTATACCACGCTGGCCAGACGGGTTGGTATAGGGTTTAATAATTCCAAATTGTGCATTGGCAGCGGTGAGAAAATGACTGACCATCACCTACATTTTTTTACAATTTCACCATTCAATTTCAACTATTAGATCCCTTGCTGGACTTATACCTAGTTCATCAATAATTTAGTAGGTGCTTAACTATCGTTTTACGATAGTGGTATAAGTGAGATAATTGTCGAACAAAGCAAAAATTTTACAATTATTCTACTTTTCTCTGATAATACTTTTAATACTGAACCTGTGTCGCTAGCTTGTTCTAAGTGTACACTACACACATTATATGCATATTTAAGATTGTAAGGATTTAATTACGAAGTTAGATGAGCGTTATCGCACAAATGCGTAAGTTAAGAACTGGCACCATGGTACCTACTGAATACCCCATTTTGTCATTGAGTCGAAGAGCATACGCATTTAACCAAAAGTAGTGTGAGGTTGTAAGGTTGTATAAATTCTATTCTATTCTCTATAGGGCTTAGTCTCATCCAGAAGAGAGATTGACATAGGCCAATAAACTTAGTCTTTGATTTTATTTTTATACTAGACTTATCGTTTTCTTCACACGTTTTAGGCAGAGCAAAAATCTGCTGTACTTCGTCCAGCTTCGACACAGATATACTTACATAGTCGCTTTCCATCTGGTGACCCATCTGCTTGTTTGCCCCGTCCCCCTTCCATAAAAATAGTTAAGATACACAGGTAAGGAATAAAACGGTTCAGTAAAATATAAATTCGTATATTTTTGGTTACGTGGTTTGTTTTCTCCAGTCCATATTGAATCCTGTGTCACGAAATAACTGGTCAATGTCCTCTTTGTCCAGTTTTAGCACCGACTGTAAACATACATGTTTTGAACTATACTTCCAAAAATATATAAGTCTATTTGCATTTTTAATAGGTAACATGTTTCTGTGCATCTAATATCGTGTGGTGACAGATTAAGAGACAGACACAGAGCGTCACTACCCCTTTTCATCAAGTGGGTGTCGTAAGGGCCGACGAGCAATTGCGACGTGCACAAAACGTGCGACGAAGCAATTGTTTGTGGTTGTGGCTAGCGTGGTTTAATAGGAGAAAACCTACTTTTTAAGGTGAGGCCTAAATCTGGCAGTGGACCATTCAAGGCTGCTGCTAGAATTAGCCGTCAGATGGTACCGACTCATTTAGATGTCACATAATGTGCGATTGCTGTAAAGCTTAATCGTTATTTTTTAGATCACTGCGGTGAGAACTTAATGCTAAATTAAAGTTTCTTTTTTTTTTAACTGGACGAATCGCAATCAATTGCTAATTTTTCCCTTAACATAAGACGCATAAACATGATGATATTTTTTTTTAATTATTGTCAATTTTCTTATTAAAAATCAAATCAAACAACCTTTAAACACTAAAAATACATGGATGACACAGTAGTTTAAGCGGTCACCTCGCCGCTACCTAATGCGCTGAGTGTTATTGGTTCGACTTCCACATGGAACAGCACTTTGCGTGATCCAAAAAAAATTTGTTTTGAGTATGAATGTTCTGTGTGTCCGTTTCGTGAATGTTTGTAAAGTCCCCCGCGACACAGAATATATTCCTAGTGCGGGAGTAGTCTGATTATAAAAATAAAATATAGTGCTCACCATTGCTGGTTTTTTGGTCACCTTAATTGTTGAAGTGTGTAACAAGGCATTTGCACCTGGTCTGTAAACACAAAACAAATAAAAACCGGAGTCTAAGTATTTCGCACCGACATTTGAATTATAGCAAAGGATGTACGTGATATACATATGTACGCAACGGTGTCAGGTATCATACTGTGCGTATCTCTAGTTATATTGCATGACTGTTTGGAACTGAATAACACCAGAATGGCTGAAAAGATCTGGATGATATTTGTGTGATCTGGGTGTGGAATAGAACACATAGGCTAGCTTTTGGAAAGGAAAAATTAATTGACGAAATTAATAGCCAGCCATAGTAAAAGAAACAAAACGCTCAGACCTATCCATATAATCCTTGAAGATATATTTATACATACATATATTTGCATATTGTCTCAGCTATCACAAATTCCACGTAGTTGCATGTCTTATCAAAATGGCGCAGGGTACTCTGTGATAACTAATACAAATACCGTTATCTATACTAATATACTATAATACTAATATTAATTTAGGCATAGGCATAGGCAGAGATTTAAATAAATAAACATAATGACAGTGGCAAGTTAATATATTTATGAAAATGTAATATATAAATTCATAAAAACAAAGATAGCTTTCTGAAAAGAAGTGATGTACATTTTATAAATACCAGAAATATAAATAAACTTGTGGTACCTGCCTGCCTGGCTCTAAAAGATAAACAAGTCTTTTCGAAGTCAACGTGTCCAATTTCATAATAAAATCCCAAATAATATTCAAGAATTAATTATTAACAAATTTAAATCCGCAATAAAATATGTATTGTTTCAGAAAGCCTATTAGTCAATTGTGGATTGCATAGAAGACAAAAATAAAGTAAAAATGTGGTGTGGGCTAGTGTGTTTTTTTTATATTTTTTATGCTTCACTTCATTTTCTCTTTTATTCGTTTTTTTTTTCTTAATCTTGTTTTCCCTTCATTTTCTTTTTACCATTGACTCGTAGTCCTTAATAATACCTAAACATAATGGCACACATCAAAACAATGTTGTGGTATATTTAATAATGTCATTGTATCTATCTGTGAATTGCAAAAGAGCGGCCATGAGTTTGTTTGCCCTTTCTTCTCATAAGGCTCAACCCCTTGGAAACGGGCGGCTGTAGAGCGGCACAGGTATATCATAGATTGTTTAAAGTTTAATTTTTATGAAATTTATTTTGCTTACTATTTGACAAAACACAGATTGTTGCTATTGTGTGTGTTGATCTATGGCTTTAGAGTCTACATAAAAGAAGTTTTCAAACAATTTTAACTTTTTTATTAAATAAAGAGACTTTGAGTCTGAGAATTATATAATACAAATGAAGTGTTTTTTGCTTGCCTGTTTGTCAAAACACGTGTTTTTTTTAGGATTCGATGTTTTCTTACAAATAAATATTAAGGGACCATAAGTACACGCAGTTGTGCATGATAAAGGCTTTGTCTATTATACACTGTAGATTCTTCTTTAATTTTCTACTTGATACTAAATTACAAACAAAAAGTAAATAAGTAATGCCCAATACATTGCCTGCTAAATCACATCTAAGCAAAAGACCACGGTAAAACAACATTGGATTGTAATTGTGTTTTTTTTTTGAGCAGTTGTATGTCTATGACAAAATCATAATACCACCTTAAGTAAAATATACTTAGAAAACAACTTGCCTTTTTGGTCTACTTCGCGTCTGTTGGAATCTCGAGCGGAAGCCAGGCTCCTGAAAGTAACATATTTTCGTGAATAATAATTGTTATTTAAATCTTAAGCAATAGACAAATATGATGCCGTAGATTTTTGCGGTTGTTTATTCCGTCGTTTGAACAGTTATATCAACCATCAACAAATAGGTATATTAGTGTTTTATACAATAGATATTATTATTTTTATAGACAACTCCCGCATTAGGTATATGTCCTGTGTCGCGGGGGACTTTACAAACATACATGAAACGGACACAAAGAACACCTAGACTCAGAACAACATGTGAGGTCGTCCCGTGTGGGGTTTGAACCCACAACACTCGGCGTAGTAGGAAGCAGCGTGGCGACCGCTTAAACCACTACGCCATCCGTGCTGTCAATATTCATATATGTAGGTATACATAGGTATTGCTCCGGTATTTGTCTATACAGCCACCAGAAAAAGTGCCGGAACATCCTAGACGCTGCTTAAATCATCTGCTATGTTTATAGGCCAATGATGATATTTAGTTAGTTAAAATAATAACTGTTATATAACATTATTAGTATATTTTATTACCTTTATAATTAGCAACATGAACTTATCTGGAATTTTACTGTAATGTTATTTGTATTTATGGGGTGGGGACCTGGTGATCTGTATTACAGGCATATCCATGCCTATCTCAGACACCAGCTCCTCACATGTTAACACAGAGACAAGTGTTCTACGTAAATGTATACCTACCTACTAGTAACTACATAAGTGAAATCAATGACGTAAAATCAAATGTAATTAATCCAAAATTGTAAACATTGTGAGGAGAAATAAAGTTATTATTATTATAAAGTTATTATTATTATAAAGTTATTATTATTATTATTTAGTAAGTATTGTTGAAAATTATAGTTTTTTTTCTAAAAATGATACTAATTTTAAGCACATACTTCCTATTTTCTATGTATCACTAAAAGATTGACTGGCAGAGATTGCCTTAGTCATTAGGTCCAACAAGGCAATGTAGTTATACACTATAAAAAGAAATATATAAATAAAGAAATCAATTATTTGCGAATTCGAAGTTGAAGACAACTCTTAAGAATCCAGCTGTTTTAGGCGTACCTAAGCAGGCACTATATGAACTTTTGCAACCAGAAGACCAAAATTTGAGGTCCATTATTTCCTATAGGCCGGAGTCAACAACAGCCCATAAACACCTAAGAACATGAGCAGTAGGGACATATTACCACATTTACTATTAATTATTATATGCGCCAATCTAAATTATATATAATAAGTGCTTACCGACTCAGATTCCAGTTCCTGAGGATCACTGTTGTCTTCTCCGACAGTAGGGCGGTACACCTCTACCATCCGTGGCTCCTGAGGCTGCGTGGATTGTCGCCTTGGCCCTGTTAAGGGTATCACCTGTTCCAAATCTCTGTCTCTCTCATTTTCAGCAGAAGGACTTTCGTTACCCTGCCTTGAAGAAAATAGAGAGGTAAAATATATAAAAAATGTCTACAAAATTTAACAGCTTGACCTTCACCAGATGACATAATGTTATACATCATGTCACATGTATAATGTTTTTATTTGTTAGGGGTAGTCATCAACAGCTTTAATAGTCCACTGCTGGACAATTGGACATAGGCCTCTCCTTAGAAAGGAGGTTTTGACCTACTATACTACGCTGGTCAGACAGGTTAGTATACGGTCTTTTTCAAGTTTTCTTCTCGTTGCAATGCTGTGGTTCTGTGTAGTTTGCTCCGTTAGTCGACTCTTACGACACCCACGAGATGAACAGGGGTGGTGGACCTCCGTATTCTAAAACCGTCACCACACGAATTAAGTAAGGGGTATGCAGAATTGTAAGTAGTAGAATAGTATTCATTACAATCGAGAAATTGCATAACCTCACATAGAGACTAAACCCATTGACCTGTCCATCGCTTTTAAAAATTACATCCAGATACAGAACAAATTATCGTACTCATTAGACAATTATTTGTGCTATGTGAGGATTGAACCCACAACCTCTGGCTCAGAAGTCTTAATCACTTACTACTAGATCAAAAAGTCTTAGGATATGCTTTATCTGTGAAGTTAGACAGACAGTAATCCTATACCCACCGCTGACCATACGGTCTTTCCAACAAATGCTTCTTAGTCGGCCAGTCGGTCGACTCCATAGGGAAAAACTCCTTCTCGTGCTTAAAAATAGCCTTCCTTCTGCTTTGTTCGTCCATCACTAGATCTTTATGCCTATCTGTATCTATCTCTCTATCCCTCTCCATGGCCCTATGCCTGACCTGCGACCTAATTAGCCCTCTATCTCTGCTTCGAACCTGATCACGCTGATCCTCTCTATGCCAGATTTCTGGTCTGTCCCTGGGTGGCTCTCTATCTCTATCTATGTCTTGATGCATAATTTTTTCTCTATCTCTGATCGCTTTTTCCCTTATAGGTTCTTGTATCGATATGAGAGTTGTTGCAGACTCTGTGAATTTATCTGGAAGGATACATAAGAAAATACTTTATTTAAAAAAAAACAACCTTTCTCGATACTGGCAGAAAGATTAAGAAGACAATACCAACTTCTAGCTTTTTTCAGGTTTGATGAGGCTTTATCTTCATGTTCTATCCTAGACTATCCTCAAATTCGAGCAATGGTCTGACTGGTGAAAGAGGTAAGGAGGTAACTTTTTCTTTTCTCTTAAACGCTTCTTCTGCCTAAAGTTCCTGTCAGGACATAAGATCGGGACATGTGTACAGATAGGGTATGTCCTGGCTAATAAGGCCTGTAGTGGCATTTACCTATTTCTCCCCTGTAGATCCCCAATGAATCTTGCTGTCTGGAAACTGCACCAGGGAACTCTCTGAGAGTAGAAAACGGTACAGTCGCACGAGTGATCGATCTGGATGACGTTCTGTATGCTTCCGTTCTCTTATGCCAAATACTTGGGGTCGGTACGTCTCCAACTGAAAATAAATGAAAAATACCTCCGACTTAAAAATCTGATGAGGACAGTATCTTCGAACATTTGACTCTATTTTATTGAATTATACTAAGGAAACTTTAGATCTCACGTTTGTAACATTGAATTTGGTTGTACATTATAATTATGTGATGGAACAGCTTGGAAGGCATACTAAAAGAAACAAATTAGCGGAAAAGGTCATTGGAATAAAAATTAAATATCTACTACAAAAAATACATATTTTAATAATACAACGCCTACCGTTGCCTAAATTACCCCGTTTCGTTTAAAGCTATGTTGTTTATGTTCCAATGTTTTTGTATGGTAATAAAGTTGGACTCAATTCGTTTACAGGTTTTTTTACGTTATATTCAGATTAGATTTTTTTATTTATTTTGTTAAAGAGTATTGTACTTAACAGATAATATTGTCTTCTGACGAATTTCATGTTTTGTGAGACATTGTGAGAGGCTTATTTATGTTTGCGTTTTGTCTCCTAAGAAATTCATTCACAAAAATTATATCGTTTTAAATATTTTATATAGTTTTATTTATTACGTATTTTGCACCTTAGTCTATTTCTTGCAAGTTTCGTAACTTTAACTTAAAATGGGCGCAGATCTCTAAACAGATTTGGAGTCTATTTTGGTCAGTTAGTTTGGATCAATAACATGAATTAGCTTCTTCTTTCTGTGTTCCAATAGGGCCACGGATGTTATTGAGAGTCATACTTCACCAAATTAACAATACTTTTCAGAAAGTCCTCATTCGTCTCCCTATTTAACAGCTTAAGAAATTATTGTTGTCCTTGGTCATTGTCGTCTTCATACAATTTCCACTCCCTTAAAGTTATGACTTCCATTCTGACTTTAGTATATTATGTTCACCTTTAAATTAGTTACATAGTTATATTCAACCTAGTCTACTCCAACAACATGAGAGGATCGTCTGACTAGACTAGATGATTCTGCCCTGTGGAGTTCGTCCCAATGGTTGATGTTAAGAATGCGAAAACTTTCAGTGCGCGATGCAGGATTAGCAGTCACTCTGAAGTTTGATGTGCATTCTTTAGATGCTGCGGACTGCTGAAGTATATTGTTGTATGTGAAAGTCGTCACAAACGTATTCAATAATGTCAGTACACTTACTATAATTTTATGTACTAAGTCCATCACGAACATTATAGATTTTCCTTAGATGCACTTAGATGATTAGATTATATTACACCCATTTGTTAAATGCATCCGCTGATTAACATATTTATGTTAAAAAGTAAGAATAATATAGGTCAAGATCAGGGCCACAAAAGAAATTCACAAAAGTTTCATACTGTTTTTATTTGACATAAATATTAGTGTATAATAACATCGTCGTTCTTATATTTAATACTAAGCTTTCATTGTGAAAGCCTTGTCTGTTAGACGGAATCAGTCAATTACATTACAACTCATGATTACATTCTTTGGAAATCGACAGTAAGAAGATTTAAAGTATTTACACACATACATATTATTTAAACTACTGTGTAACACTATCTTACAAAATGACAATTTTTACATTCTTTCATAGACGCAGCCCTAAATATTGGCTTCAATTATGCTTCACTAATTGTAATATTGAATCTGTAGCTTATATAAATAAGTATTTATGTATTAGAAGTTATTTTAAGCCCTCCAAAGTACTTTAGCGTGACGGCGATGGGGCCATGCCAAACCAAATGGTATTCTTGCTTTAACACCATGTCTGATTGGCGCGTAACGGCTGGGCTTATTTTTTCTAAAATATCCCAATGCAGCAGATCTCCGTAGTTCTTCTATCCTCTTCTGTTCTATCAGAGCCGCTTTTGCTTTGGCGCTCATAAAAGCTAATTTGCGGACCACTGAATTTTAACAAATAGTCATTATTTTTTACTAAATCATTCTGAGATTAATATTGCTAATACAATTATCAAAAAGAGTCCTTTTTTGCATAGAAGTTGACTAAGAATATACTACTAATCAAGAATCTTCTAGCAAAAAACATATTTTTATTAAACATATATTTAACATGGCAATTTATTTAGAAAATTGATTTGTTTTTAAATATGCAGAAATATGCGGAAACATATTTAGAGACATAGGATATACGTAGTTGGCTTAAATCACGACTTGTGAAGAGTCGGGTAGATATTAACAGGCATCAAGAAATTAATAACAGAAAACATTATTCAGAAGTAAATATTTCTACCGTCAACTTAAAAAAATATTTCATTAAACACACATTAATTAAAAGTACTTACCAAAGATAATCGTAATTTTATTTTTAAACAAGAAATTATGTTGCGAAGAAAGTTTGCAACACCTTACGAATCTTTCTTTTTATTTACAATTTAAATCTTAAAGATCAATTAATATTTACAAATAATGTCGTACACGTAAAATTTATAATTTCACCTAAATACTTTAGCAATAAATAGTTTTTCTTGATTTACAGCCACTAAATACTAAGCTTCGTCAAATCGACTGCGCACACTAAATTGTGCTAAGTAAAAAAATTTACTTAATTATAATAAATAATAATTCATTTACTTATAAATAAAACTTAAACTAACGCAAACTTAAAGAGAAATAATATTTGTAAATAAAAAAATATCACATTCTTAAAATCACACTTGACACCTTTTAACAATTAATCAACACTTTTACCCAATTTTATTATTAAGATTATTGTCTTAGAGTTCTAGTTAAGCTGTCCACACTTCATTTTTATAAGTACCAATTGAAAAAATAACAACTATTTTTTTAATGAGAACACCTCATCATAGCTAGCTCTCTGCCAGCCGTAAGACGCGAAATCCTCAACATCATCGTCAGCCTCACTCGCAGAAGACCGCCCCTCGCCGCTATCGTCCTCTGATAGTAAATTACGAATCGTTTCTATAAATAATTATCATATACATTTTCATTGATTAATAAACCGTATAAACTTGCTTAAATACAAAATTATAAAAAAAAAACTTAAGCTTGTACTAAGCTGCGTCGATCTGACGAAAGAAAAAGAAAACATTATGGTAAAATGCAGTGTATATAATTACATGATCTAAGACGAGAACAAGAACAAGATTTTGCAAGTAAACGCGTCGTCGATTCGACGAAGCTTAGTATTTGAGATTGAGGCACGACAAAGCATAATAGAGATAGATTATGCCACTCATCATCAAGATTTGCTGTCTTTTTCCTAATTTTCTATGGGGTCAGCACGATGCGTAAAATTGCCAGCTTTTGGCTGTTTTTCTTTATGGCCGGCCGATTGCAAGTCAACTACCCTTAGGGACTGTAGTCGTTTCCAAATGGGATAAAGGGAGATCATTTTCCTGACCAGGTCAGGAAAATAAACATGGGGAGGGTCTCGGATGGGTCATTAGTATTGAGACTGCAATGTTCCGAATATATCTACCTAAATGTAGAATAGCATTAACTACTATTTTAAAGTGATTACCTTCAACAGTTTCTGCTTCTTCCGAGTCATCATCCTCATCGTCGTACTCCTCCATTTCCAAGTCATCGCGCTCTTGGGGTGCTGGATGACGAACCTGGCATAGATCATAATTATTAAAATCATTTTAACAAAACCTACACCATGATGCATGAATAATTCACTGTCTATTAGTAGCTTGGATTGTGGTTCTCTTGCTGGACGAAATTAAGTAGCATGGAGTGTCGAATTTGTCGAGTTCTTAATCCGTCATCACACGGAAAAGTCACCACCCATATTCATCCCGTGAGTGCCGTAAGAGCCGACATACGGAGCAAACAACGCAGGATAACAACACTGCAAAAGGGAAGGAAAACTTGAAACAAGCCCTAAAGGAACCCGTGTGGCCAGCGTGGTATAGTAGGCCAACAGCTCCTTTCTAAGGAGAGGCCTATAAACAGCAGTGGACTACTAAAATCTGTTAATGATGATGATGAATCAAGTTATGTACCATCACCATATGTTAGGTCAATATATACGATAGGCCCCTATAGATATAAGTGAGCCAAACTAACTTACAACTAGATAAGCTATAAATCAGACAGATCGTACATGATTTTTAAATATTTCAGAACTTATTGTTTAAAGGTTTTAGTTTTTAGCAATTCTTCTACATATAAACATGCAGTTTTCCAAATTAATTAATTGCGTGTGTGGTGACGGTTTAGGAATACGAAGTGTCACCACCTCTATTCATTATTCATCCCGTGGGTGGCCAACTACGCAGGATAACAGCAGTGCAAAGAGAAGGAAAAAATCTACACAAACCCTATACCAACCCGTCTGGCCAGAGTGGTATTAGGCCTCTTTTCTAAGAAAAAGCCTAGGTCCAGCTACTATTACAGGCTGTTAATATTGAAAATGATTGGAAATTTGATATGCAATTTTGTATCTTATGTTTGATTAAAAAGGGAGTACAAATTTATTCGGATAAAAAGATATTCTTACCGGACCACACAACGCAGGATAAGCACTCCTAGGTCTTCGTGCTGTGTGAATTGGACAGGGAGCCATAGGACCGGGGACCAAAGTGCGTTGTCCTAACATGTTGGTGTGTGAGAAATCACACACCAGCAGTAACCGAGGATGATGAGCTCCGTGGCGGACGGCACCACAACCAACAGCCTGAAGATTCCAAACTGCTAATTGACTGAAGTGACCCCAAACTGTGCCTCTGGAAAGTTACGCTGAGTAAAGAATTGTTACATGATGACAAGATAGGATTACTTCATAATTTAGTAGGCATCATCACCTCCTTATTCCTCCTGATCATCTATTCAACGAACTTTTCCTTTATCAGAGAGAACCAATTATGAGCAAACACCTTTACACTAATTTTCAGCTGAAAATTTTCTTCAGTGCAAATACCCAAGAATTAGGAATAACTTACTTAGCAGTCAATCTGAATGGTGCTGTAAGTTGTTTCGGTTGTGCACGTCTTCGTTCCCCCCACCACGCGTCGAGCACTCTCCGGATAGCACGTTGCGCGCTCAGCTCATCTGAGTCGCTGGAGCGACGCCACCGGACCTCACCGACTGTTTGTCCAGCGTAAGGATATTTTACTGAAAAGCGAAGACACAAAGGTCAATTGAAATTTCTTTAAAGATAGAAACGACGAGAAAACAACAAAAAACGGTGATTTATCAACAAAATCAGTAGCAACAAACTAAATGGAACCAATAACGCAAATCATGGATATGACGCAAGGTCAATTTGCCTCCACATAAGATCTGTTCAGAAACAGTTCTCTCAATATACTCAGATGGCAGACAGGTCCCACCTGCTAAGGATTACCAAAATTGTTAGTAGTTGTACTTACTATCCAAATAATTACATCACCATACGAAATACATCGTAATCCATAGTAGTTACGTTTTTGTTTACGCAAAAGCATTTCTAAATAAATAGTAAACATGCGATACAATCCTTACTATTTTAAATTTGTATACATCAAAACACATGATGCCATTGTGATACCCGTCTTTTGTCTAAGATAATATAATCGCCACTTCAAATGCTATGTCTAAACCTTTGGATTATATAATAAGAAATTTGAGTAAGTTTAACCATCTCATTTAGCGGTGACATCAGACACAGCTCTAAAAAATCCAATAAATAGCATAGCAATTTGTTATTCTAATTAGGTTTATTACTAATTTTATGGTAAATTTTCAAAAAATTAAACCTAGCTACTGGTTATTACTAATTCCAGGCGTTTACCTGTTGCTCTGCAATCATCATGAACGAAATGGCACTGGTCTGCTAATCTTTGCGCCAATTGTGATAGTTCACGATCCCACTCCTGCAATCCAAAGTATTTTAATTATATTACAAACTTTATTGTTTCTGCTGTTATTGCAGATATAGGTAAACTTGTTGCGATTCCTACTGTTTTGAACATACATATCGAATGCCAACAAAAAGGCTTTAAATATCAAAATTTATAAAGCAATAAAATCAAATCAAATAACTATCCAAACACTTATTAACCTTCCCAAATAACTTGCATTCAACATCGTCATCTTGCCCAAATTGCCCAAAGTTTTACCAAATTAAAAGTTTTCTTCTTCCATTCTCCTCTATCCTGATTGCAGTCACTACCGGCCGGCATACGCTCTATAGCCGATAGTGACAGATGTTTCACCGCGGTCGTATCCTTCTGCGAAGACGTCATCTCCAGAAGGAGGCTGGAGAGGGCTCGGGAGCATAACCTCCACTCGGACGAATCGGGCAGCGGAGGTGTGCTTACCACCGCCTCACGCCGCCTCATGCCGGTGGACGGGCACGTTTGTGTGTGCCGTACGTCGCGTAAGTAAAGAATTCACACGAAGATGGTGCCCGCGCTTTGAGGGCAGGCGCTAGGAGGGATCCGGGAACTGCTGTTATTAAGACATCCGTCTTAATAACAGCAGTGCCCGGATCCCTCCAATTTAAGGCGCAGAGGTGCACACAATGTGGTTTTAGCCCTTTTTTTCTGGACAACTCGGTACAGTTAATGTACACATACTGCATCAGAAAAATAGGATTCTATACAACATACAAATAGAATTTATATGGAGAATTTTTGTGAGAAACAAAACTATAATAAACTTACAACAAGCATCATAATTTGGGGTTTTGGCAAATGAACACCCCCGCGGACTCTTTCATTCCCTGAGGCGATCCGCTGACGACGTCTGCGAAATTGTAGGATTATTTAAAAACAATCTATACAAATAAATAAAATTGGAGTGTCTGTTTGTAATGTTAAAATAACCGCTTTTTACTCAATGCATATGTATGTTTACACGGTACACATGCCAAAATAACATTTTTTACAATTTTTGTCTGTCTGTCTGTTTGTTCCAGGTAATCTCTGGAACGGCTGGACCGATTTCGACGGGACTTTCACTGGCGCCATCTGCCAGTGAAATTGTCGTCGAAATCGGTCATGACATAACGAGTAACTTAGGCTACTTTTTTTAGACTAGCTTCGCCCCGCGGCATTGCCCGCGGTTATAACAACAAACGCAGGTAACACCGCGGGTCTCAGCTAGTCGTTAATATAACTAAAAGGTTTGACTAACATCACATTTTATTAAATCATGCGTATATGTTTGCAAAGCTAATATTTAAGAAACATATTTGTTAGTAGGTAGGAACGTCGGTGAAAATAATTTTATTTTTTATTTTGGAGAATGGAGTGGAGAGCATGAGTAGAAAGAACTATCAAATAAATAATAACCGTGTCTTATTCTATCGAACGTTTACACAAAATTGGGGTTCAGGGATGCAATAATCACGATAAAATATCAAAGGTGATATCAAATGCCATAGCATGCCTACTTCAATTTAAAACAATTTTAGAAGTAAATCGAAATTATCGTAAACCATCAAATTGATAATATATTAAAAGTAGGGGCAAAACATCAGAAATTCTTCGGTTTGTATAGAAACCTCTAAATGGCGGTGAAAGAAGCTTATGGAATACTCGCCGTTTCCCGAACTTTCACCTGCGCTTATGGTGCTGCCTAACCTTGCGCAATAAATGCTGTATGTAACACAAAAATCCAATTGATAGTTTCAGAGACAAGCGTGCTTAAATTAAGAAAAATGTTATCAGCTTTATTATAATAGTAGCTATTGGTAGAGTACTGTAGAAAGACGCGATTTTTTTAAGTGAAAGAATGTTATGCTCTTCAAAATATGAGCAAAATAGCTCTTCGACAATTTGTTGACCAAGAGCGCAGACTTGTCAGAGAATTTCTTTAATTGGTTTGTCTAGGAATGAATGAATTGATCATCCATGAACCTCAGTTTTCCTGGGTGTAATATGTGCATCAATTTGTGTAAAGTATTTTAAAAAACATCTCACCTGTTTAGATAATGTGTTATGAAGTGTTTTAAATCATTTGTGAATTTGATAGGTGTGTAGCGTTCACACGACGAACCGGGCCCAGACTGCAATTAGAAAAATAAACGAATACAAAGTATCTTAAATTCCATGGAAAAGAAATATAAAAGTTACTTGATAGTTAAATCATCCGTTAAAAGAACAAAAAAAATACTATTAACTATAAACTTCGACCACAGGGAGTCTTTAAGACTTTTCGAGTACGTAAGATTACGACACTAAGACACAAGGAGAGATCGGATAAATTACGTTACTAAATACTAATAATTTTACAATACAACACAAATTAATTTAGTCATATTCCATTACATTTTAAGCATTAAAACACTTTAGGAACCCCCATCCTTCTAGCTATAAACTAGTATAGAATATACTTATCAGTTCCAGCTGAACTAGCTTACATCAGGAAATTGGCATGCAACGTGCCGTCCTTTGCCCTGGCAGAGTCTTCGATACCGGATTGCACAGTACTGGTGTTCTTCTGGCACTACGGCCAACACCGTTACCAGGAGTAAACACAGCCATGCTGATTGGTACATTATTAGCAGACTGGACAGAATTGAATTAATTAAGTCACATTCGAGGTATTAATTTTTGTAAAAATATGTATTTATATCATTTGAATTTTTTTATCGTAAGTAACAAAGAGGGAACTTATAATATTATAATATTAATATATATGGCGTTTATTAATTATAATTTAGAAATAAATTTAAGTTGACAATTCCGGTTACTAGTTTTTTTATATAATTTTAACTTTTATTATTTTTAATTTACTGTATTTAATATGAAACACTTTAAGGGATGCGCTTGTGCAAGGATGAAAGACAACTAAAATTTAATTAATCGATTATCTCATTTTTATGTGAAGTGATGATCAATGTACGCATTGTTTTATTTCGTACACGTTCATATTTTAGTAAACACAATGACATAATATAGTATACAATAGTAAAATTATTGTTTTGAATAATTTTAAAAGATCTTTTTAAATGTAGTTCGGTGTATATAGTTAGTTATAGAAGAGAAATTTAAACAAATAAAGTATTACATGAAAGTTGGTGTGTTACTCCTCTTTGTTTAGAGTTTAGCAACAACAATACTTTATTATTTATTAGTCTTAGCTAGTAGTTTATTTCGTCCTTAGTGTTAATTAGTTTTATGATATAAATTAAAAGTTAGATAATATGTTATATCTAATTATTCGAGCGAAATTTAACGCGTGCAATCGGCTTAGCTACCTTTGAAGTTTGAAACACAAAAATCAATAACACTACGTGCTATGTGTGGGTGGATTAAGAACCTTCTACCCCACGGGTTAGGCGACATAGGGAGGGCGTGCACCACTGAGCCAGATACCCTGTGGTTACGATCACTACAACCTGGTAAAACATCAGGGAATCAAAAGTATGCTATACCTTTAACTGGCATAATTCCGAGGCAGCAACAACGACCTAGAATCCCCGCGACCGCTATCGCGATATATATTTTGCAACGTTAAAGTTTGACGTTTATTATTGTTTTATCGCCAACCACATTGTCAGTGCTTAACTATCGTTTTCCGATAGTGGCATAAGTGAGATAATTGTCGAACAAAGCAAAAAATCTTATAAAATAGAAATTTATTTAAAAAATACTTGGCCTCGCGGGTTCCGCTCAAATTTATAATGATTCTATTTATCTCTGATAATACTTTCAATACTCTGAGAGGCATGAGTGAGAAAATCGGTGATGAACTTCTTAGCTGCCGGTCTAATAGATACGGATATTAGTATTGGAATAATCTCCAAAAACATAAATGTTTTTATGGCATAAAGGGCTAACGAGAAGACGAATCCTGATGGTAAGTGATTATCACTGCCCATGGACACCAACCCAAGACACAGTGCGTTGTTGTCCTTTGAGCAAGAATCATGGGTTTAGGAGTATTGAGCTCTGGTCACGGCACTCATTCGGGGAAAAGCAGCGTAAAAATTGTTTAACACCGGTTTTCTGTGAGGCTGTATCACTCCGGTTGAGCTTATTTGTCACATATGCTTTTAAACTTCATGGAAAGATAGGATAACAATAACACAAAGAAGATGTTTTCTCGAAGGCTATCTAAAAGAGTTGAAGGAAAGATAATCAGAACACATGCAGTTAACAAATCCATATGTTAAACGGTGTTCCAGTACTTTTTTGTCAAAACTACAATGCTATTAGCAAGTACTGTATAGATTAGCGTTAAAAGTTGAGCTTTCAGGGCTGAATCAAAGATTCTGCGCGTTGAAAACTCGGGACTTAACGCTTGAGTCGCGGGCTCAAGCACCGAAACGGTAATTTTTTAGTTAAGTGTATATTTATTGGAGTCAACAGTATTAAGAGTATTCTGAATTCCTTATATTATGTAACTACAACTGAAAAACTTACACGACATATCTATCTGCACTTTAAAAATAATTTCTTGAAAGTATTTAACAAATCAGGCATAATTTAAAGACTGTTTATGTAGAAACTAGCTTTAACCCGCGGCTCTGCTTGTGTGTAAGGTGGGTGGACCATGGAAGGCCACGCTCCTTTGAAGGCCAACTATTAAAAAGTCGTAGTTATAGACATGTAAAGACATATTCCTTCTACTACACACTACAATCCATCAAACTAAAGGCCACAGACGCGGCTGCAAGTCGCTCGCGCCGCTATTGCAGCAGTGCGATCTCACACTTCGTAGACTTCGGTCGTCGACGTTACAATTGTTATTCGCGCGCACAGCAAAACGTAAGTTTTTAGTTAAATAACCTATTGTTTCCTTATATTTATTACTGTGAATTGTCGTGTAAGGATATTTGTATGGAACTCAAGAAAAAAAAAAGAAATTGCCTCGATTTAAGTGAAAATATTGGGAGTTTTCCTAGGAAAGCCGGTGGTTCCTTATAAGGCCAATCAAAAATTTGACGGTTGGCCTTGCTAGGGAACATGGGCCTTACATCTATAAACCATGAACATATGAACACTTATTATGTAGTTATAAATACGTACCGTTAAAGTTAAAATAATGTTTTATATTTATAATATATTTTTTAAGGGTTTTCTAACTTTTAAACTCAGATTCAATAGACATTTTTTTCAAATTTATTTTATTTTCAGTATATATTTAAATTTCTTTTATGTCTATGAAGAGGTTATGTCTGGAAATAAACTAAACTAATTTATATGAAAAGCAACGAATATAAAAAATATTTGCTTGTTAAAAGCGGTAAAGTAAGTATGAGATAAGTTAAAAATTGTATATCTAAGATAGTCTGTCTAAAACTATAATTAAAGCAAAAAAAAATTATATCAATAAGTTGGTAATTGAACAGATGATTAAAATTTATACGTATTATTTCAGATTTCGAGAATGTCACAGTCAAAACCTAGAAAAAGAGGTAGTAAATGGAACAAAGAGAGTTTAAGACGAGCCATGGAAGCAGTACAAAATAATGAACTAAATACAAATGCTGCAGCGTTGAAGTTTAATATTCCAAGACGCACCCTTAGAAACCATTTAGTAAGCGGTAACAGTACTAAAATTATTGGGAAGACAACTATTCTCACAAAACAATTAGAAGAAGATTTATCGCACCGAATCAAACGTTTTATTATTATTATTTTCGTTTTTTAATCTTAAGAACCGTTGATTTTAAATATTCCTGACTACAAGACTGACTATGTGCCATGATAAGTTTGTAATAATTACAGTACATCTGTAGTGCCTATTATTTTATTATAATTAATATTAAAAAGTCAAAAATTGATAGTTTGGCCTTCTTAGGAACATTGTGGCCTTACAAAGAACGGAGCCTTAAGAAGGCCATATAAGGTAAAAAAAAAAGTTTTTAATTTGATTATAACACGCGTTGACAAGTTATTTTATATCAATATAATATTTATTACTACTAGTTTTAAATAATTTCCATTAATATATTCTTAGTTATACGATGGTGTTCAAGTAATATTCATTGTGTTTTTTATAGATAATAAAAATATATTGTGCATTTAATGTTTCGCTTAAATGAAAGAGCTTATTATGTAGTTTCAGTAAAAGCGGATTTATTAATTGTTACAACTCTATTTTTAAGTTGAACGACTGAATTATAATATTGGCCTTGTTTGGAGCCCTGTTCCTTGCAAGGCCATTTGGAAGAGCTTAATAAAACTTAAGTTTAATAAATAGTTATTAAAGCTAGGTAAAAAAAAAGTGATTTGTATGGTACCCAATAAACCAAAGTATTCCTTAACAATTTGTTTCCTTCATTTATCCAGTAAATATACGAATAAAAAGTGTTTATTCTTTAGAGTGGCCTTCCATGGTCCACCCACCTTATGTCGGTTTTCGCGGTATGTATTCCCTAACAATCAAAGTTTCTCCATACCAAATTTAGTCGTTAAATCGGTTTAGCGGTTTAGCCGTGAAAGCGTAACAGACAGACCGAGTTACTCTCGCAATTATAATACTAAAGGAATCAACTGCCACCAATGTTAAACTTGCCTGTTTTAGATTACCTAGATTATAATGCTGAATAAACTTACCATTTACAAATAGAACAAGAGTGTAATATAAAACCACATAGTATAAATATATAAAATACAATAAAAAAACATTTAACAAAAAGGTAATATTTACAAAATTGCGTAAATATCAATGAAATACTTAAAACGCGGTAGGACCCCAAGATGTTTACAAATCCTACAAAAGTGACGTTTCTGATAGAAGACGTCAATCAATACAAGACTACTGGAAATAGTTTCTATTAGCTCCTTTTGATCCTATGCAGTCTTCTTCTTCTACTTTAGAAGTCTTGAAAAGTAATTCATACCTATGTATTTTGAATCAGCAAGTATAAAGTTTCAAACAGAAGAGGAAGAGTTAGAAAAAGGTGGAGACTAGATAATCAGAACACAAGTATTACAGATTATAAATGGTAATGGTGAATGGCGATTGTGTGTAAAAATGGTATTCACTAATATCAGGAATGTGTGTCTATTACGTTTTCACGTCTTAACTGCTGGCCCACTTTTGATAAAATTTTAGTAGAGATATCGTGCTTATCATCTTGGATAACGACGTAGACTACTTTTGTCTTGAAAAAAATCTTAGTGGTAAAATAGTACGTCGTGGTACCAGGAATTTTCTGTCTAGGGTACACCCGGTTCATTGGCAACTGGTACAGGAGTCGGCGTGCGGTTTTTGTTTGGTTCGAGTCCTTCGTAACCACCCTGCCGGTGGGTGGTATTCGAGAGGATTTCCGAACTTTTTTTATGGATGAAATACACATAGACGAACTCGAAGGCTTATAGTTATATAGCAAAGGGTGTCTATTGGTTTAAAAAATGACTTAATTGCTGCATCGGTGTTAGGCGCCTGAAACTTACGCAACAAGCATGACGTAAGTTCTTACTTTATAATAATAATAATAATATAATTTATTTCAGAAATCTTGTTCCATATACAAAAACAATAATTCATTACATAATATCATCAATCACAATTTACTTAAAAATAAATAAAATGAATTAATAT